AGAGAAAAAATTTGCTTATATTCTGATCTTCTCATTTAGCTGAAAAAGTAAAAGAAATGGAAGAAATGCTGTCCCAGAAAGATAATGAAATGAAAGCCATGGAAGAAAGATACAAACGCTACCTGGAAAAAGCTAAAAGTGTAAGTAGACATAAAGTTCATTGTTAATTAATAGCTGTCTTTCCTGCTTCGCCATTTTGAAAGTTAGTCTCCCTCTCAGTGTGGTTTAGTTTCAGTAATGTCTTTCGTTACCTCTATAGCGTTTGTAACACATCAAAAAGTGGCAATTACATTGTTACCGCGAAAAATTGCAGCTAATTATTGCTTGACAAATGCTTTTTCATCATTAGGTTATTAAAACTTTGGATCCAAAGCAAAGTCCATCTACAAACACTGAGGTAAACAACACAACACATCACCACACAACACAAAACAACACAACACAACACAACACAACACAACACAACACAACACAACACAACACACCGCCTCACAACACAACACAACACAACACAACACAACACAGCACATCACCACACAACACAACACAACACAACACACCGCCTCACAACACAACACAGCACAGTAGAGCACAGCACAGCACAGCACAGCACAGCACAGCACAGCACAGCACAGCACAGCACAACATGCATGTATTTTCAGTAAAATAAACTAAGACTGACATTGATCTGATATTATGCTGTCTCATTTAGATAACAACGTTACGAAATCAAGTGCAAGAGAAGGATAAACTAATTGATCACTTGGAGGTATGAATACGTTCATGTTAGCTATTTCCTCCTTCTCAGTGTTCCTTCCCGTCGGCTCTCATCTCTTGTACTATTCCGTCCTCTTCTCATCTTTCCTTTTTAACTCGAAGATCGCTCACTCGCTCACTCACTTTCCTGTAAACTTTCCGTTCTTATTTATCGAACTTCGAAGTCTGTCTTTATTATTTTACAATGTAATTTAAACAATAAGGTTTGATGATAAATGCTTTAAAATTGTAATCTTCTGCAGAGAGATCATGAAAAAATGAGGATTACCCGAGAAAGAGAAGAAAAACTTATTGTTAGTGCTTGGTATGAAATGGTAAGAACCGCAAACCATTCCGGCATATTAGTCAAACTTACATACATCTCACTTCACTTCATATCATATATCTTTTCTAATATCCTCAAGATCGAGGTGTCCAGAAGTCGAGAGCTCACTGTATTTAATCTGTTTCTATTTTCATATTGTAGGGTATGCAACTACACCGKAAAGCTTCTGAAGACAGACTTCTGGGAAGTACTGGGGGTATGTCRTTCCTCGCACGACAGAGACAAGCATCGAGTCGAAGATCTACACCAAACAGAACGCAAACCAACGCCGTTACAGCAAGGTATAATGACTAACGGGGACATGTCGTAAGCATGACTTACGCAGGCTCCATGCGATGGTTGTAGGCAAAAGTTGTGCCATCTAATTCGGCCATTCTTGGTGTTATTCCTATTAATGCTCACTATTTTTTACCTTTAAACAGAGACACATGACATCACAGAAATACCACAGTATATCTCCATCGACAGAATAAAGAACGCTCTCATATCTACGCTGCTGTCGTCTAGTATCCCTGGTGATGTAAAGCGCTATTCTGATAGGAGGTCTTACACATGAAATACCTGTCACGTGACCAGATGATCTTTCTTAGTWATCTTAATTTATTTAAAATGTATAAATTTAATGTCAATCTAGTATTTCAGTCTGCGAAATACTCTTTCATGTGACCGTATCTGCTTAGTCCCTTCCACACGAAGACGGTTGTAAACTAAAACGCTATTTACGAGCGTTAAACGTATATGTTGCGTTTACGTCCGAATATGTTTTGTTGTAAGTGTCATATTTAAGGTTACATGTGCATTCTACGATTTACAGTGCACACTGGAACGTGTATGAAACGGTCATTTTTGGTAACGTTCTGGCCATGTTCATGCTGATATCCATGTTCATGCTGATATACCATTAACAGCGCCATGTATGGTCAAGGCAACAGTCACGTGACAGTTGTTTCTGATGTTTGATTTATTCAATTTATGCCTATTTAGAAACRGTGGTAACATTTTTATGGTAGATCTACTGGCCACAGCGTCCGTACGAGCAAACTTTGTAAAATTCCAGTCAGTATAGACAATGGTTTAGTTACGTTTTCGTAAGAATCGCAATACGTAAACTTTCAGTAAGTGTAAACAATGGTTTACTCGCAGAGCGTTTCCGTAAGGATAATACCTAAACTTTSAGTCAGTATAAACGATGTTTTATACGCAACGTTTTCGTAAGGATAACACGTGCAATCGCTCCGTAAGAAGCGGCCATTAATACAGCTATTTCAAAAAAAGTTGGTCGAAAAGAATTGAGCATACGCGGCCGAAAGGAAATGTGGGTACTCAGTTTTGTACGGCAGTATACTCTCATCTTGAGCTAACTCAATACTCCATATTCGAATTAAAAAGCGAATCATCGCTGTTTTATTTGACTTACCAAACACAATTTTAATAACGACATTTTCTCGTGCTTTCTTTTGTGTCTGGTAACATAACGTCTTTGCGCAAGAGAATATGCTGTCAAATAAAGCAGCGATTTTTCGCTTTTATCGAAAATTGAGTTAAATCATCATGGTCGTGCATTCGATTTTCATCAATCATTTTGAAGTAACAATTTGTGCTTTTGCCGCTTATGCATCTAATTCTAACCTTCGCTTTCCTTGTATCATAAGTGATGATAAATTGAATTATTGAAATTCCCAATAAATTTTTAACTTAATTATTATAATTGTTGATGTTTTACAAGTATTTAAGAGGTTTGCTAACGGGAATATTTTAAGAGAGGGGAAAAGATCGTTTGAATGACAGTTTCTATGTGAAACTTTAAAATGAGTGAAAAATTTGCTCAAATAGTTGTACCGAGTCTACAAATTTCAGTTCTGCGCACTAAGTCAACGTTGATCCATCCCACAATTCCCCAGTTGTCGAAAATAATTTCAAAATGGTGGCGAAGGAAGATCTTCATTACTCTTTTTAGGGTGATTTGTTTAGCATTCATGGTCGGTATGTATATTCGGAATTCATTCGTAAGATGAAGGTTTTTGTTGGATAATATGTATCTGTTCGCCTGTTGGAATTCGTTCTCTGTAAAGAACTTCTTAACTCGTGTTTGCGAGTATACTACTCCGTACGACTTGGTCGTAGAACCGAATCTTTCTCATTTATCGAAATTATGTCCTATCGATCGTACCTGCCACTTAGGGCTGTCAAGAGGTGTTTCCATCGGTCAATATTATCAAGATTTTTACATTAGTGAAACAAACCATTCAGTCTGATAAAGTTTTTTATCTATATTATTTGCTATTCTTATTATGCCTACATAAATAAAACGTTATAATTGAAGCTATTAAACTGTTAATTCTATTTGCTAAGTGCTTTATTCGATTCTAATTTATATTGGACCTTTTCGCTGCACGCACAAGAAAGCACTACTGGTGAGTAAAATTTCGTTTTTTAATTTTTTTATTGTAGAAAATTTAGTATAATGTTTAACTTCGATTGTTGCCTTTCGTTATTCTAAACTGTCTAATCATTTTATATATCTTTTACTCTATTCAGGTAATTTTGGTCATGAAGACAGCAGCAGTTATATGTGTTATTGCCATTGTTGCACTATTGGGTATGTAATTTTACTTAAAACTGAGTCGCACATCTTTTATAAGACGATGCTGAATCTTTGCAAAAGTTACCTCACAAGGCGGATTTAACACATGCAKCCCAACA